GCATTAGCCAGCAAAATCAAAAAAAGTAACCTGCTGCATTAATAAACATGTTTCATAAGCATGAAAAGTTGAAATGCGCAACAACATTGAACTTGCACCTGTTTCGTAGGTTGCTTAGTCAAAAGAAAAGTTTGCTTAAACATTTTTGAAAATTTTGCAACATTCTCAACTTTTAACTGAATAGCTCAATTATATATTTCGGAGAAATAAACTATGCGCCTTCTGGCAGCTGCGACCCCGCTAACATATAGCGCCGATTTAAGAAGAAAAGAAAGCTGGAGAATCAGTATTCAAAATTCAGAAAGTATTCAAAATTTGCACTTCTTCAATTTTTGACGAGAAATGTTGATGGTCCCCATAAAACCGTCAATGTGGTTTCATGATTTACTTCACGCTAGTAAACATGTCACACTACATATTCGAATTCTTTTAGCGCACTTACAGAAATAAAAAAACCTTTTTGTAACTGTCATACCGTTTTGATATATGTTTGTTATGTTGTATTTGTTCTCTGACATCGAGCTGCTAGAAAATGTTTTTTCAAACAAAGTGGAGCTTTCAATGTTCAGACCAATACATATGTAAAGAAATCCAAGCAGCAGATGAACTCCGTTCGATGTTTGAAGTCTATGTCAAATACGAGGATAATAGCGAATTTTCGTTCTGGTAGAAATTTTTCTATTGCCGGTAATTTCATCATTTCAGATCATGAATTATGGCCGTAAGAAATATCCAAAACGGCGACAGAGGTTGCTGAGTTTTTTCGGATGTTATTACACCAACTTTTTCGCTGTATTCAAATGGCCAAGAAAGCTTAGTTGACGATACATGTCATACGCAGATTTCGAATAAATTATTGATTTTTCTATAAACAAATTATTTATGAAAGGTAATGTGGTGCTTCATCAGATCCATTAGAATGAATGCTTTATTTTTCACCTTAATCAGCCATTAGTACCTTAAGCTTTTTCGATTGGTTATGACGATTAGTTATTTTATTTATGATGCACATTCGATCTCCAAGATCTTATTTTATATGCTTGAGAAAATTCTAAAACCATATGCGTGCGCTTCCCCTCCCCCCCCCCGAGAATGGGTCGCGAAATTTTTGAAACTTACCTATATGGGTTATAAAAATATGCAAACGACTTGTTTACTGTTGTAAATAATTAAAATAATTTTTAAAATTTTTCAAAAAGTCAAAGCCTTACAAAAAATTTTTCCCCCGCAAAAATTTTGAGAAGCACCCCAAAAATTTTTTTCGGAGTGTGTGGCTAACGCCACGCACCTTCATTTGAAAAAAATTTTTGTCGCCCCCCTCCCCTCCGGTCCGAAATCCTGCGACCGCCATTGGCGCATACGTAAGAGGAAAACAGTCATAAAATAAGGCTATTTCTATAAGAGATATCCGCAACTGTGACAGAGCTGCTGAGTTTTGATCGGATTTACTACACTAACTTTTTCTCTACATTCGGTTGCTTATAAAAAGCTCAGTTGATAGGCAATACATCCATGAAATTGATTGTCAGATTATTAGTTAGAATAATTTATCGGAAAATGATGCGGTGCTTAAATGGATCCATTTAGAGGGGAATCACAAATTTTTACCTCAATCATGCAATAGAACCTTTGGCGTTTTTTTGGGTAGGGTGTTGATCTCATAGCTGAGATATATACTGCATAATTTTTGTTCAACGATTCAAGCAGATTGGTTTGAGAAGAAAGCAATACTGTGGAATTGATAAGTGTGCAGTCAGTTTCTAACCTACGCAAAAACCACGACGCAAAAATAATATCAATTTTTGCAGGAGTGAGAGGGGAGAGAAGGAGAGTGAGAGAGAGGCACGACAGGTGAATAGTTATTTAGTTTTGTCACTCTTCCACAGCAAGCATTTGTTTAGAATTTTTACTTACGATCACTTGATCCTTTTTGCCGCTCATTTTCGCGTAAAGGGGAGGGGGCGTTTATCTCTAACTACCGTAACTTGTGCGAAGTGTGTTACATTAGGCAGTCTACATCAGACTTCACCCTGTCGAGAATTCCAATAAGACTTCTAATGTTCGTTAGGAGGCAAAAAAGTTATGCCAAAAATTCGTATGACTTTGATATTTAAGTACAGATATAGAGAAGCCCTAAAAATACAAGTGTTAACCTCTTTTATCCCGAACGGTTTCGCGCGCGCTTTACCACCATGTAGAACAGCTTAAACTTAATTTTAAAGCAAATTACAAATAGCTCTTTATTGTTGTGGAGTTACGGTGGGAGCTTCCAGCACATAAGCGCCGTGACGAAGTAGCCGTTGAGTCAAAGAGCCTGAGTATTTTATGGAATTTTCAGGAGAGTTGAACTAAAGAACACCCTACAGCATTAGCTGTTTATATTGTACAGTCGATTTTTTTCATTCAGCTTCGAAAAAACTCAGCTTTCAACCGTTCTTGTATTCAAAAGAGAATATACCAGGCGCTTAAAGGCACCGTCCAGCCAAAATTTCGACCTCCATGTTTTTGCCGTTCCAGGGCCTTCTCATACCCCTGATTCCGAATATCAGTTGAAAATCCGCGAAAACCACGAAAAACCCCCGTTTTCAGAACCTGCAGAGCGATTTCCTCGGTACGGTGGTTGATTGGCCGCGCACGGATGGGCGGGACGAACGTCACGCCCACTCCGAAAGGGGAGGAGCCAGCGTCGCGAACGCGGCCTGAAGCGATTTCCGAATCAACTTTCGGTTCGGAAGCAACTTCAGGCAGCGCGAGTTGGGCAATCCTACACTTGCGGGCCCGCATCTGCTAGGTATCATAATCTCACCAACCCCAATTTGGGTGGACGGTGCCTTTAAAAACCTTTTGCTAATCCGTGAGCAAAAACAAATGATTGACTTAAAGACACCGTCCACACAGATTCTCGACTTCCAGGTTTTTGTCGTTTCAGGGCCTTCTCACTTCTCATGTCCTTGATTGCGAATATGAAGTCGAGCAGTCGAGCATGCGCAAAAACCCCGACAATCCCCGTTCCGGAGAACCCACAGGCCGACTTTCCGGAACGGTGATTGGATGGGCGGGCATGGATGGGGGTCCTCTGCATCTTCGCTATTCCTAAGCGATTTTCTCGGTTATGAAGCGGCATTTTGCGCCGCGACTTAGGCATTGGATTGATAGGGGGCCCTACTATCATATGCTGCCAAAAGCTCAACATCCTCAACTTAGGGTTAACGGTGCCTTTAAACTGGTTTCAGAAACACTTAAGTGTTTAATGAGCTTTTTATCAATCTTTTACGAACTTCATGAATTCGGCATTCTAAATTTATTTTGCACATTTTTATTTCTAGATTTATTAGCGCATTTTTCTCAGTGCACAAAATCTTCTTGAACGTTCTTGCCGTAATTCTAAAGTAAGAAGAAAGATTGATTTGCTTTGTAGCAGATCTGAATAAGCTGGTTCTGCACTGAAATCACTGATCACGATCGAAATGCGGTACGTCATTTGGAAATTTAAGTATATAATTGAACTATATTTATCGCAAAAGGCAGCTTGCTTATTTATATTGATATTTCTATCATTTTTCCATAAAAAGCAAGAACACAGTGTTGTAACTAATCAAACAAACTCGTGGCTTGAATTTTTTCTTGCAGTTTTTGCAGAGTTGCTTATGTTAAAAGCTATTATTGACTGCTAACTACTTATCAAATAATTGGGGACTCGGGACTAACACGCATTTAGATAGATATATTCACAGTTTTTGCTGTACGTAATTGTCCGCAATTAGTTGCTACTTACATACTACTTGTTGATCACAAACAATGGCTAATCACGCCAATGCAGTAGTTCCGCCTTCACAAGTTTTGTCTTTGTGATACAGTTACGCTCACATCATGCTCGATGTCTCTGGTTATAATCAACAACGGCCTCTTATAGAAGGAAGCAACAATCTGACGCTCATCTAGAAAGATATTCCATCAAGGATTTTCATCAAAATCAAACGTTATGTCGTATTTGTGCTCAAGTTCTAATGCGGGTAGGGGAGCGAACTACTCCAGTTTGAGCGGCCTCCGCGGGCAGGACTCTTGCCAGCGAAGACGAATCAAACTGGCGGAGTTGGTTCCCTTACCCTAGTGACCTCACACGTTTGTGGCTCCTCACTTCTGCATGTGTCTCCTCCTCATTTCACCCAATTTTGTGTGATTTTATCACACATCCATTGGCCGATGGTACAAATACGTCTGTCGCAGTCGGGAGTAGGCGGAACCGCTGGCATGAGTTTGCGCGCTCGCCGCGCTAGGTTTTGCGCTGCATATGCGTACTGCAGGAAGGAGCGAAGAAGTTGCCTGTTTGGGATTGGGACAGACTGTACCACAGATTTTTGCTTCCTGTTATTTTTGTGCTTTTTTCATCGTGCTTCTTTTATCATATCGTTAATACGAGTCCCACCATCCTGCCGCAATACAAATGACGAAAAGGTAATGGTAAAGAGTACTGCCAGACGAAGGCGCAAAACCTAAGGGTGGATTGCGATCATTAGCCGCAGAGCGCATGAGGAGCGGGGTTTACAACGGTGAAGATGCGTGCGCTAAATTCGCGCCCGCTCATTTGGATAGAGGAACGAACACCTCAATTAGGCATTGCCTATGCGGGCTGCCTGTCCTTTCGTCCTGCTGTTGTGCATCATCTCAGGACTGATAGTCCGCGGAGGCGGTGCCTAACTGAGATGTTCGTTCCTCCACCCCGCTCTCAACTTACCCAATGTTTCTTTTGGAGTGAGCCGGATTAGAGCGGCTTGAATTTGGCGCTATTCCCTTGCTTGGGCATTGTCTTTGATCATTTCTCCACACCTAAGACTGGGGAAACTCGCTTCAAATGAGACAGAGGGTACACTGCTTTTACATCTTCGTCCGTAGTAGCACTGTGTTGAAATATCCTCGTCTATAGATTACATTCTTTGACAGTTCTGGCAAACTTGGAGAAATGAAAACTTCATTTTATACAGCTGTTTTGCAGAATAACCATGACTGCAATCCATATAGTTGATCAGATCACGACAGCTATTGAAATATTCTCAGCCATATTATTGTTTTTTGAGCTGATCTTTGTATGTTTCGTCCGTCGGAGACTGATGAAGAGCACCTTCTTCCAATGTTTTGTGCTCAATGGTGAGAATTGGCACATCTTAAGATTACTTATACACAAATATATAGTAATATTATGTTGACACTCAAGAAATTTGTGTAGCAAAATGAAGTTTCGAAATATAATATAATATATTCAATTTAGGATGCTATGGACTCCTGTCTTGGGCAGTGTCCTATCAGCTGCTCCGTTCGATCGGGGCTAATTCACTTCCTTATCTTTCCTTTTTAATGCTTTTAAGTGGCCTTTCACTACATGGCTACCTCTTGAGCAGTTTCCTAACATCGTTAAATCGCTTTACTGCTATAGTGTTGCCTTATGCTTTCGATCATGTGGGTTCTTTACTTCATTAGTTTCTGGTGAGATCTCTCAAAATCGACCAAACAGCGCTACTTCTGGGGATTATAGCTGAATTTCTGTAATTCCACGGAGAGAATGCCCAAAATAAAATTCGCTTGGCTCAGACGGAACGATTTCATTTTACAGGTGTGGAAGCTACAACATGTAATGCTCTATTTTTCAACTGTGATACTTTGCTCAGTGTTATCTGTATATTTTCGTATCGGTGTACCTATAGAAGCAGAATGGATTGAGGAACGTCAAGAATACCGCTGGCTAGGCTATCCTCCAAACATTCATAAGGTAAACCAAGGATTTTCTCTCAATCGCTAATAAAGTTCTAGAAATTCCATTAAAAATCGACTACGAGGTGTATAGCTTTCATCCATATTGTATGTTTCTTTTTAAGACCGCTGTTATTGTAACAGTCTCTATATGTTTTTTCGTATCTTTTTCAAGCCTGTTGATGAATATGTATTCCCTTGTCTCTTGGCGAAAATACAGGTAATGAGTGATTACTTACTTCTCTGTGCCTGATCAGAAACTAGGGCGTGGTTAGTATTCTTTTCGGAAGCTAACCTTGAAGTTCAGATTGTATTAGGTTGGCGGGTAATTTTTGTTACACTTTTTTTTGTAAAATTCTGGAAAATTCTAGAACTTCTCTAGAATATTCAAAGTTGCTCCATATGTAGGCCACGGCAGGGCGCACACAACAGTAGGACCGGTGCCGCAAATACACAAATAGCTAGCAAGTTTACGACAACTTTATAAGAACACCCAAAATTGTCATCTCTGATTTTTTTTCTTTGCGTCAATTTGTGTTTTTTCTCTCCCATAATTCTTTGGAGCATTTTTCGCACTGCCTCTTTTATCAGCACTTGGTGCCCTTAGCACGCCAAAAACAAGGGGTGAAAGCAAGTCAAGAAAATCAAGAAGTTAATCGAAAATTTTTCTTTTTGTGTGCATCGTGTAGGTTTTGATACCTAAAGGTTGAAAATAATTTTTGTGAATTTTTAAAAATTGTTCTTCTTGTTAAAATGCGAACATGCATTGACATGGCGCAACATGTAGCTCATGTGATCGTGTGATTGATATAATTGTGCCATCCCCCTACATTCGCTAAAAACTATGGACCATACCCTGCCCGAATACCACGTCGCCCGGTCTCTCCCTGATCACCTGGAAGAATGCCAGCTCAGTGACAAAAATGTCCATAAAACGTATTCCCACCAATAAAGTGGGTGTTTTGTGCAGGGACCGCGGATCTGACAGTACCGGCGGGTTGACCTTTGCATCCCTTCAACACTCCCTAAACATAAGATTTTCGGATGTTTCTTAGAATCTTAGAAAATAAAAATGAAAGTGTAAGAGAAATTGTCCGCCAACCTGATACTTTGAAAACGCAGCGTCAATTACGCCAGTGCCGTTGAACTTTGCAGATGCAGACTATATTCAGAAATAAACCTATCTCAAGAAAATTTAGCGGCAGTTTGAAAGTTAATTAGTAGAGTGGGCATATTCCATTTGAATGTTAAATGCATGCACAAACGGGCACGTTGCAGTTTTGCACTCTCGCCAAAGGACAGATATGAATAGTGACTATTTTGTTTTTGGAGGATTATAACGTAAACATGAAACAGGTCTTTGGAGGGAGAAATTAGTTGGCCTTATTTAACACTTTCAAGGATTCATAACTTATATTCAAATGAAGTGGAACAGTTGGACTTTTTAAAAATTGACTCACATTAAAACTTTCGTCAAAAAATGAAGGAAAGTTGGAGTTCCGGTTCCGCTTATTTTCTAACTGATTTCAGAGAAGGTATAACAGCAAAAACCATCGTGGGTCAAAGAAATTTATTGTATTTCTCCGTCATTTCCTTTCTGTGCTCTTTTCTCATATGTCTGCAACAGCTATCAGCAAATCTCATAAAGTTCCAAGGAAATCAGGAATTAGCCAATGTAATATTCAATCTGGTGAGTAGTTTTTTCCTTCCTTGTGATGAGAATGATATTTAGAACTATGAAGGTTTTGCTGGCTCAATATAAACTAGATCTGTAAAATTTCTTACAACCACTCTTGAGAGTGGCGCCGCCATCATGAAACGAAATCTCATAGAGCAGCGCTTTTCTTTTTTCAGTTTCTGGCAGCCATCCTAAGCCTTTTTTTTATTGAGAGATCAGTATGTTTCCAAATCACAACGCCTCAGATGTCGAAAAAATACATAGCCTTCTTTTCAGTACTTTCCGATCAGTACGTTCGCCATCTTCGTAGAACCATACGCCATCATCTTCTTCAGCTCCGCGCTGAGGCATGAGATTTTGATATTTTTTGGCAAAACAGGAAGATGGGAGAGCACCATCCACTCGTTACATATAAAATAGCAAAAAAAACGGGATCCATGTCATCAGTCTACTTGTCACACCTCTGCACAAATTGTATAAATTTTTGTCGAACAGGTTGAGTTACAATTACTACGCCACTGGTTTCAACAATATTAATCGGCTTTGGCTGCAGGCTGTTTGTTGATGTAAGCATCAATTTGAAAGTAATGCAGGGATACGTACTAAAGTAGGAGCTTACTTCGCACAACTTAATTCGATTTGAGAGTCCACCTGCATATTTTTGTTAATTTGCTTCCATTCGAATGACCTTTCACGAAATATCAAAAAAGCTTGGGGTTTACATAACCCTAATTTGCATAACCTATTCTGTATATGCCGCATCTCCAAATTTTTGGGTGAGCTGCTCAGCCGTTTCGGAATGCGATACTTATGTGCTGCACATTTCTCTCAGGCAATGCGCAGAAAGGTATGGGGTGCTTTGGAGCCCTTTGGCTTGTTTGGGCTGGTGGATTTTAGAAAAAATTTCTGCGGCTCATACATCTGAAAATAGGGCAATTGAAGTGGCTTCTTTCCTTGTTGACTGAACTGCTTGATATGATTGATTTGATTGGTGCTTGCTCACCCTTCTGTTATATAATCAGCCACGCACAACAAGCCCAATAGCCAACCTTTGCTTGAGTTGTTAACCTTTATCAAGGCATGAAAATCATACTGTGGGCGAGTAGAGGTCAGGGCCCGGCACGAGTTGGTTTCTAGGGTTTTTGAAAACGAAATCCCTCCTGACTTCCGAAAATTTTACAAAGCCCTTTTGGCTCTTATCGGAAACCTATCAACTTAGGAGAAGATAAAAACAAAAAAAAAACGCGAATAGGAGTGAAAATTTAAAGTGAAGCTGCGCGATATCTAACAAAGCGGGTTATGAAGAAATTGAGGCAAAGAAAAAACAAGGAAAAGGCAACAATATGATGATTTTATACTCAGGGATGAATTCTTGACCGAGAAAGCCGTCCATGATAGAACAATCCGAAACTTATGAGAACTTGCAAAAACGTATGCTCCAAACGATGTCAGATCGTCTGGAGGCCGTCCCGAAACGGACTAGTTTTAAAAAGCTACTACATCACATAAGTTTTCAGAATTTTTTACTTAACTTCTCCGTAAATAATGTTCTATGCCTATGGTCCAAATTTGGTGTCTTAAGATTGTCTCTACGCTGTAAACAAGCAATTTGTCAATTTTGGCTTTGCTTTTGAATCGCGCGTACTTTTCGCAAAACACGATAGAGCACGTACACCGTGTAATAACCTGTCTTCAAAGAATGTGCTTGACTCAGTGCTCGCTTTTGGCACTACAGAAAGTGTGTTGTATTGTCTTGCACACCGTAATTATGTGCGATTTCCTCCACATGCTTCGCTAGTAACGCATATACACATTTTTCCGGGGCTCCGCCACGGTCCCCGCAAAAACACATCTTCTTTGCTTTTTCTCCCAAAAATCGAAGTCCAGGTTTCCAGACGATCTGTGCCGGGCCCTGGTAGAGGTTGATATGTACTGAAAGCACATGAGAATATAAGTGAATTAATTGTAGATGAGCAGTGTAATTGAGATGCGAGTAGAGTAACTGCGATTTTGTATGTGTAAAGCAACAACAAGTGAGTGAATAGATGAGGATAAGTGTGAAGTCAAACAGTGAAATAACTAGATGAGGTACAATGGCAAAGCGTTGAAAGTTCATAAAGCTCATGAACGAATTAGGCACGGCCTCGAAGATAAAGAAAAATTTTTTTAAATGTAAGATGTGAGGCTTTAGCGCAAAGTATCCTCTCCATGAAATTGAGAAATTGAGTACATATAAATTTGAAACATAAACCTGAAAACGAGGAACTTACGACAACATAAACGCCAACGCGACGAAGAGCAACGCGGAAAAGAAAAAAACGGTAAAGAAACGCGGAAAAACAACAAAATCAAAGAAACAACGACTAAAATATGGAGAAAGAGCGTAAACAGAGGGACTCATACCGTGGAGTTAGACGTTTGCTTGGCTAGGCGCCAAATCGATACGCAGCCTGCTCCGGAGCCCTCCCATTTGTGCTCCGGGGCCCTCCCATTTCTGCTCCGGAGACCTCCGATTTCTGCTCCGGAGCCCTCCCATTTTGTGCTCCGGAGCCCTCCCATTTGTGCTCCGGGGCCCTCCCATTTCTGCTCCGGAGACCTCCGATTTCTGCTCCGGAGCCCTCCCATTTTGTGCTCCGGAGCCCTCCCATTTTGTGCTCCGGAGCCCTCCCATTTGTGCTCCGGATCCCTCCGACTTTCTGCGGCGCGGCTCGTCCAAATCTGGCGGACTCGCGGCGGGCAAATTTCTCCGGCGCGGCTCTGCCAAATCTGGCGTACCTCCGGAGCAGAAATGGCGTACCTTTGCAGCAGGGCCGGAGAAGGGTCCCACTTGCCTGCCAGTGATGTCACCGCGACCTATAAGAAGGGACCGCCCAATCGCCCCGCTCTCATTGGTCAACTGGGTCCGGCGCGACTCTGGCAGATTCCGACTGTCCGGTGGAGGGGTCCGGTCGATTGTCTGAGTATAACCAGGTCGCACGTAAGTCATGAAGCATTAAAAGGTTTATTGCTGTGGGAAACTCGTACTTACCTAAAATATTAAGTCTATCATGAAGGGTATGGAATAGTGCATGTATAAGTTGCTGCAATCCCACCCGTTACTGCTTCAGCGTAGCTGAATTCTACTAATCTATGTCTAAAACTTGTATGAGAGGTTAGCATTCTCTCATTTCTCATCTTATTTTTGTGCACACGCTCCATCCTATTGTCACATTTATATATAAAGGTGTCAATTTCTAGAATTTCAATTTTTCTTTCTCATTAGACCAAATAAATCGCTTACGTTGAAAAAATCCTTGCAACGTTTTTTGTTTCATTTTTTGAAAAACCTCAGGTGCGACAGCTTGCACCTTTTAGTAGCATTCCAGCTCTGACGGATTTTACTATGAGAAGTCTAGAAACTCAAGAAAGATATAAGCAAGTCGTGGCTCTCTTAGGCCTCCACCTAAGATTTTTTCCTGAAGTACAAACGATAAGCACAGTTAAGTTATCGTTGCTCGAACAGTGCAAAGCAGGCGATCATAAAGCAACGAAATGCAGATGCGCCTTTTTGCTTTTGCGATAAACTTTTTTGTTTTATGGGTTTCTCTTACTTTACCGTCTTCTCTTTGTTTTAGACCTGAGAAGACAATATTTAGCATTTGAAAGCGTTATTCCTGTCCCGTAGTAATTCTCTGTTTCTGCTGTATGACCCACTTGAAAACCGATGGAAACTATTTCAGTATATTATTTGGTTTGTCTACTTGGTAGCATTTCCTCTAATCATTCTATAGTACCGCGTTTCTTTCTGTTCAAATGATGGACGATGAAACGCATTGCGGCTCAGCTTTTTCTTGAAGCTTTCTAATTTTCTCCCAAAATTTCTGTATATGTTGATATTCAGGTTGTTCTTATGCTATCCCATTGTTATTGCTCTAAATATCTTATGAAACATTATAAGTGCGGACAACAGTCGACTGGAAATGTGCGTCATGTTTATGTGTGATCTACTCACCAGCCATGGATGACAGAATTTTTCTGTATGAAGGCCCGCATCTTCAATTACGATGTTTATTATTGAGTTTAAAAGTTGTTTAACTCATGAAATCGTACTATAATCATGGTCAATCAGCTGCCACCTAACACATTGACGTCGTTTGACACACCAGGTGTGTCAAGCAATGACTACCACGTGGGACCGCTTGACACACATAGTGTGTCAAAGCTTGAACTTCGTTAAAATGAAGACTATCTTAGTGCAAATTCATTACAAAAGTTTTCTTTTGCTGTAAATCTGAATTAACCTCTACCTTCTTTGTCAGCCTTCCACAGCTACTATAGGTGTACTGTAGATGGCTTTATGCTGATTTTATCGGAAAAACGATGACTGGTCCGTGAAAGGTCTTGGTCCCAAGAGGAGACAATAAAAAGTTCGCGTTGTCGTCAACGTGTTAAAAGGTCATGCCTTGTTAGCCAC